AAGACTAAGTAAATATGACACTGCTTACTACTCCGTGATCCATCGATTGTAAATTCAATCAGTGGGCTAATTATCACTATCTATATATACATAATTATTGCTTCTTTATATATATATATATATATATATATATATATATATATATATATATATATATATGATAAATCACTATTTAAGTTTATACTATATTCAAGTTTACAAACTAGACATGATCAAATTTTCGATATTTACTAGCAATGGAAATATTAAATAAAAAATTGTTTACTAGGTCAATTATATTGTATAATACTAAACACTTAAACTTGTCAACATTTTATTATTTATAAGAACCAATCTATGAATACACCTATGATGTTGAAAAATAATAAAAGTTGTATTGTTTGACCTGGTAGCGTTCAAAAAAACATACTAACAATCGAATTAAAGGTTTTTTTTGAAATTAATATGTAGTATACAACATTTTTAATTAAAATCAAGGCTAACCGTATACACATATAGAATATTGGTGGGCGACCACCTATGCTCCTCCACGTGGAGAAACAGGCGTAAGTAAGTGGACATGTATAGTTAAAATTGATTACAAATGAAATGTGAGATGAAGAATTACATTTATTTACTACAAAATGTTTGGTTGTTCGAATAAAAACTCAATGTTGTTCTTTCCCTAGGCAGATTTCAAATGATACCTTATTTAATACTTAATTATTTTTCAAGAGAATAACAAGAAATATAGTATAGTCTCTCACCAAAGTGCTTAGGTTTCAAATTGCATTCACATTATTATCTCTTCTTACCTTCCATTTCTAGTCTAGGTGACCTTTTATTCTTTTATATTTATAAATGTTCTTAACAAGTAAGTAATGTATGATCAGATTGTTCGAAATGTATTGCGTTAACATATCATCGCATAGTTCTGATAATCTTCGTCTTCTTATTTCATTATCGAAATTGTTTTCTTTCTATTTGTGAGGAGTTTGTTAAAAAATTAGATAGTGTGGTATTTCTACTATGCCCTGGTACGGTCGGGAGTGGGGTGGGACCGCCTCCCTCTCTTCAAATACTCTCACATGGCCACGCGCATACAGCCTAATTATTGCCTTCTTGTGGCGGGGGTTTTGTTTACGAAAATGAGAGAACGAAAAGCGAATGTTTGGTGCTTTAACGGGATCCCAAACCAATGGTGCACATGGGCTCCAGTATCCTGAAGGAACAAATGGTGTATGAATTAATCGTTGGTCACCGGCTACCATGGGACTGCATCTCCTCACGATGCTCCACTGCCTTGTGCGTTAGACCTTTAGGTCAAAGGCTCGGGGTGTGGCCTCCTAAGAAGGTCACCTGCTTCGGTTTGGGCACCCGGGCAGTATCACAGCGCACACACAAATATAATGAAAATGTAGTATTTCTACTACATAGGAGAGAAAGATATTTCAATAATCTAAGCTAAATATTTTCATTAAATAAAATGAAGACTATTTAGTTTGTTTAACGTTATGAAATCCAATCTATGGAATTTATGGATTTACAAAACTGTAATATAACAAATAGAAAACTGTACTAAAAAATGTCGTAAACTGATATGTGTTCAGTAAAGTTATACTTTTTTATCCAAAATAATGGGTATTACAAAGAAACAATAAAAATTACTTAACTTTCATGTAATTATTTTGTTTGGTGACAAATATCCATGAATTTTCAATTAATTTCAATAAAACAAATAGAAATCGTATGCACTGGGATAAATACCTTTCTCTACTTGACACGGATTAGATTCACTCCGAGAATTCCCCCACGAAGCTAGTCACTAGTGAGCACATGGTAATTATCAGTATGGAGTTGTGGAGGTTATTAAGTTTTTGACTGAGATCATGAAGTGTTCGCACGCAAGACCGAAAGCCCTGGATTCGAATCCCGCGAGCGGGGTCGTGAGTACGCACTGCTGAGGAGTCCCACAATGGGACGAAACGGCCATCCAGTGCTTTCATGTCTTCAATGGTACTCTGACATCAATCGATTCATGATCTAAATCAAAAACTTAATAATCTCCACAACTTCATACTGGGAAATCGTATGTTTTGCGTAATAGTATTTTCTGTGACCTGTTAAAATGAGTGAGCATTCAAGAGCTACGGGTTATGGTATTGAGGATTTTTGTTTAACTGACTGGAAAGGTTATGAATGGTATGTGTTACTGATTAAATACGACAAAAATGGACTCCTACCATATATCTACTCATTTCTTTTCTACCAATGAATATTCAGTTTTTACTAACCAATGACAATAAAATGTAACAGAAAAATCTAAGTCATTGATCATAAAGATAAGAATTATCATAATTCTGTTCATTAAGGAAATGTCTATGAATAGCCAATGGTCAGACTATTTTTCTACCCGTTAAATCCTTTTTTTTTAGGAAAAATTATAGTTAGAGTCTGGATGAAATCTAGACAAACAGATATACACACAGATCGATTTTTGCTGTTTAAGTTTTAGATTTTGGTAAACTTTTAATGAATTAATTATGTAACAAAGTACGGATCAGTTAGTAGGAGTTATACATAGTCATAGTCCTAAATATAGTCATAAATTTTATAACTAGAACAAGATAGGTTTATGCACCTGTCTTCCAATACGATTGGTAGGTATCCGCTTCATGCATGACATAGTTGAACTCCATCGGCCACAACCGTGAAAACTGAATGCACTGGGTTCTGTTACTGTTGGGATTGTAGGTGCGTGATATTGAGGAGTTTTGTAGTAGGACGATAAAGCAGTTTAGTACATTTTAGCTTTTATTAGTAGCGGAACTAAGGTTAGTCGGTGACTTCAAAGGACTTGGCAAACCACTCATAATATAATTTGAATAGATTAACACACCTATCATGGTTTATTAACGTTTTCTGAAATAGCAGATAGAAAATGTCTGTCCATAATAAAAAGTCCTGCTGAGTAAATCTTTAAAACTTTCTTAACTAAATGACTAAGGTTTAGTTACTAGTCAATAGCTTTGAATTGGGTTTCTTAAAATTCTACAGGACAGCCACGAACAGTGAAGTCAACCGTCTTAACAGTGAACATGATAACTACCGAGTGACGACACTGGATGATAATTGCGCTATTTTGTGAACCAAGAGAAATCGGAAACACAGGTAGTTGGATTAGTGTCTAAAGTAATCATAGAATATGAACTTTCCGGATTCGATCTTGTGAAGGAGTCTAAGAGTGAAACGAAACTATCAAACAATGGTCTTATTGTTTTCAACGGATTTTCAGCTGATATCAGTTTATAAAAAAAGTCATCCCATTTAAGATAGAAGGTTCGGAAGGACATTTAACTTATAATTTATAGGGACAAAGATGATGGATCGAAGCAATCCGTGTAGACTAACATTTTCAGCCATTGATTACAGATATTGTGCGAGGTCCAACTAAGAAGCCGACTCCCACCAATATTGATGCTATGTTTGAACACGATTGACTCAGCTTTTTACCGACCTAATTTTAAATCAACCGGAAGTGGATATCTGGAAAGGTGATGATTAAATATAACCGACTGATGTAGTAGACACAACAATGGATAAAACTTTGTATCCCCATTACCACTGAAATATCATTATTTATACTCAGAAAATAACTAAAATTAAGGATTTTTATTGTAAATTCAAGATAGTGGTGATAAACGTGACAAGACTCAACTGTTAAGAGTAACCATGTGCTAAAATTTCTGAAAGTAGTCGCAACTTTTACTCATAGTGAAAATAAAATTATTTGAGTAGACAGCTTAAAGATGTATATTCCAAATAACGCAAGAAAAACCAAACATGTTTCATACATTTAAAAAAACGTATTGTTATGCCCGACTTTCATTGCATCAAGGCTTTAAATCTAATCACTTCCGTGTCATTCCAGAATAACTCCAAGTTACTAAATCTGACCCTGGAAACTATGGGTATTTCATTTTGTTTGACGTCAGTTCGTCACATTTATCATTAATTGTGTAAATACAGAAAATGTACACATGGTATTCAAATTTAATTAAACTGTTTAAATTTCTTCACATAGTTGCAAGCATGAAATAAAACAAATATGTTTCTATCACTTACATATCTCTAGTATAAGTTAGACAACTACTGTGGTGAAAAGAGTATACAAAGTTGAATTTATAAGTATGTTTGGAACTTCGAAAATCTATCCTAGGCATTTCAGGCATTCTAGTGTTAGATAATACTGTAAGTCAAGGAGCACTCGAACATCACTCCCAATACTACTCTGCATAGTAAAAATTTAGCATTGTTTTTTTATTGTAGGAAGTCTTTTTATCGATCATACTGTAGTACACAATTTATAGACTTTAGTTCTTGGTGCTGATTGATGCCTGTCAAACAAATTCGTTGAACCAACGTCATGACGATACACGTACATTAGTTCTTATGTGATATCACCAAGAAAAGATTAACAAAGCCAATCAGTTAATTCCATAGAATACTAATATAACCCATGGAACGGATATACCTGGTTAATTACGTTAACATGAATAAGTATAAATAATGGAACCTAAATTTCTTCTGAAGTTTGATTAGGTGATACCTATAGAACAACTCGGCATGATCTACTATTGACAGATCAGAAATCTACCATAATGCTAACCCAATTATATAGAACAGCATGAAGTAAAACCACAATTACTGTTCAGATGGACAAGTATATTTTGACTGGGTGGTAATCAACTACAAACTATCACGTCCAAATCCTAAGTGGTGTATGCTTTCAAATACGTATTTTAAGTTAAGTCATCATATTAAAAATAAAAGAATCAGAATAGGATGTCGAAAATTTATTTAATCGAATTTTATCATATTAGAAACGTTAGATTAAACATCTATTCTGTCGTCTAAAATCCTCCCACAGTTAATAATATGTAAAATGGATAGAGTGATTTTCAGCAAGCACTCATAACAAACACTGATAGATTTGCTTAAAAACGATCAATAAAACTTACGTTAATGAAATAGGTGCGTCACCACTACGATTAGTATAATTTACAACGGCATTGAATGTTTGGTTAAACCATTGCCAGAATATGACAGCCGGTGTAGACCTAAATGCAGTAATAAAATAGATAAATAAACCCATTACATTCTACAGCTGACAGATCGAAAACTTTTTAACAGGTTTGTCAGCTTTTTTCATTGGGTGGATTGATAAAACTAACTGGTATGAAGTTCTGCAGACATAAAAAAATAGTACTGTAGGACATTTCGACTGTTTTAATTTACAGGTATAGGGTCGTGGAGATCGTTTACTTTCACGGAAATCATGAATCGATCAATGTTAGACCACCATTGAAAACCTGACCGTTTTATCCTAGTATGGGAAGTGAGCAGCCACAAACCCAGGACCTTCGATCTCGCGCGCGAACACCGAACCCTTGGACCATTGAGCCGGCATCTAAAGCCTTTAATCTTAATTTGGTGGAATCCCAGTTAGTTACGAATTCATAATCTTCGACAAGGTTTTGCCCAGTAGTATGTCAGTTCGTTAACGATATTTCTATGCCGAATTGAGATTTGACTTATTGAAACACTAGCCAACAAGGCCTATGACGTTTTTGCAACAAAAAATAATTTCATGAATAAGTTTATTTCGCTTTGTCTCCTTGTGAAACAGCTGTTTAAACGAACTAATGAAAAATAGATGTATACATTCGGTCATTTTTTCTCTGCAACACTGCCCAGATATTGTATACAAAAGAGTAAGCGCTACTAGAATCAAGTATATGGTCTAAGATACAATTTAATTCAGTCTGTAAGCTTCTAGATATTCGCCGATTCTAGTTACTAAAACCTTCGTTGTACGCTTTCAATCAGCACTTGCCTTGATGTGCCGTTATAGTCTAAAATACGCCCAAGGTCCAAAATGATAAATGGAACAACCTATAAATCTAGCAACATCCTAAAATAATTAGTATATGTAACTTAAATAACACACTAAATACTTTGCTATTGTTGAAAAGCTTTAAAACGTTTAATTTACTCACTTGTAAAACTGTAGCAAACAACCCGTTATAAACATATTCCCAGGAACTTGAAATGACATGCGTCCAATGAGTATCATTTTTTCTCCTGTGTCTGGATGAAACGCTGAGTCGTACACATTTTTTGCTTGCCAAAGCTTTTCTACAGTTAAGCCAGGTTGAATAATCCCTATCCTGTAATTATTTCATAGCAATACATGACCACATAATACTCACCTATAATTATGAACGATGGTCCTTGCTTCTTCTAATTCAGTAGATGTTTTCAATGCGTTCAAAGGATTAGTTGTAATAAAAAAGTGTTTGGCTCTGCCAATGTACGTGGACTGATCATATCGAGGCTTTTCTATATCGACTGATTTACCATGAACTAACTCGGATGGCTATGGCATTGTTAAAAACAAAAGGAAGTATGTTAAGCAGTAAAAACTGTGATAAGCCTAACATTTATCAAAACTTGCGGGAACTTTGACACACAACTACTTATAAAAGTACCGTGTACATATTTCATAGTTGTCTGAAAAATTAGAAAGTGGATAAATGGCATCTAATATGCTGAAGTTTGCTTTGGCCAATATGATAAAATGCCAAGTAGATTTGTTTCCACTGATATTTTGACGGTTCAGTCAGTCAGTATCAACGTAGAACTTTGTACGTACGTACATCAGTTCGAGTTGCCACACCACATTAACACAGAGATGCAGTGGTCGATTCAAATCCCGTAGTGGTAGAGGTAATAAGAGTATAAGCAGAAATCGGAAAGATTAGTGTTTGGAGATGTTATTTAAAGAGTATAATACAGTGAAATAAATTTGGGAAGAGAAAAAAAAGAGACAAAGAGGAATAAGGAGATCAAAATTTGGGAGAACACAAAGAGTGTATGCACCTGCGCCATTGCAAACGATTTTGAGCCATGTCATTCAGGGTCTCTAACCATCGGTTGCTATCATCTCGCGGTCCCCAACCAGGTAGTCTACACCTACCGACATGTCAGTGACTTCATGGACTTGTGCCATGTTTTGGTCTGGCCGCCCCTAGCTTTCTTTCAATCTACTCCTATACCACTGAACATCGCACGTCGAGGCAGTCAGTCGTAACACGTGTCCCAGCCATCTCAACTGATGAAGTTTCACCACTTCATCAATTGATTTGCCATCCTTACCTAGTACCCGTTTCCTAACAACTGCATTACTTACTCGATGGTCCCAGCATATAAGAGCAATATTTCGAAGACACCTATGATCAAATACTAGTAACCTACGAATATCCTCTACTCTTACCGGCCATGTTTCACTGCCATAAAGTAGGACGGAATGAACTGCTGCGCAGTAAACACGTCCTTTGGTTGATAGACGGATATTTCGCCTACGCCATAAATGACGCATGTTGGCAAAAGCTAGTCGAGCCTTCTGTATCTGTGCTGATATTTCGTCACATATCAGACCATAAGGGCTGATAAGAATTCCAAGATAAGTGAAGCGGTCGACACACTCAACTACTTCACTCCCTATCACTAGTTCGGGTGTCGATGTAACCCAATCCTGAAGCAACATTTTGCATTTCGAGGGAGAGAATCGCATCCCGAACATGCTTGCATTGTTGCTTAGACTCTGCATTTTGTCAGCGTCTTCACCAAATAAAACTGTCATCAGCATATTCTAAGTCAACAAGTGAACCTCCCAGTAGAAGTTCAGCCCCTGTAAATTTAGATGAGGAGTGTTATCTCTAAAAGTACGTCAATGACAAAGTTGAACAAAAATGGAGAAAGTGGACATCCCTGACGAAGACAACTTGAGGTAACCAATTCTGATGACAGTTCGCCATAAGCTCTCACTCTACCAGTTGTGTTCGAGTAGTGATTGAGACCAGTCAAATGGGATTACGTTCAGTTCCAAAATTCTACCTAAGACTTCGGTTAATCTCACTGCTAATACTGAACCATCATCCTTAAAAATCTCAGGAGTAAACCTGTCAGGGCCTGCTGCTCCCCCTCGTTTCAGATTTCCTATGGCTTTTTCAACTTCGTAAAGAGACGGAGGACCTACATTAACTTGCCATTCAGGTTGACTGGAGATCATGGGAAACCGAAGTGTGACTGAAGGCCAGTTGAACTGATCCCTAAAGTGTTCTGCCCATCGATCCAATCTCCTGGATTGAGAATGAATAATATGTCCATCTTTTTCTGAGAGTGTTTTGCTAACATTCGGTTTCCTAATACCGGTTTTCTTAACAAGTCTGAACAATTGTCTGCTATTACCTGTTGCCGCTGCCTTTTCCATCTCTCTTGCTTTCGCTACCCACCACTGTTCACGATCATTGCGTAGACTTCTTGTCACCTTGCGCTTAAGCTGACTCCGCTCTTCATTATGTTCAGAGCCAGGTGGAATGAGTTTCCGAGTATTCTTCAGTGCGATAGATGCTGCTGAGATCCAGTGTTGCTTCCTTACCTTCTGATTTACCTTACTAGCAGATATCACTGCTGTTTCCACAGCTTTTCGGGTATCATTCCATGCTGCCTCGGGGTGGGCATCACATACATGGCTGCCTAACTGTTTTCCTAGTTGTTCCTGAAATATACTCTTAGCTTGACTATCATTAAGTAGGCCCCTAAGAGGTTTACTTGCAGCGTCTTTCCTACGTCCAGTAGGACGCAGACAGATACGCGCTCGTACTAGAGCACGATCTGAATCTAAGCATGTGCTCCAGAATGAGCGACAGCCTTCTATCGAGCCCCTCCATCGGTGGCTGATAGCGATGTGATCTATTTGGGTCCAACGTTGGGACAAATTAGAGGGTCTCCATGTTAAAAGATGTTTTTCCTTATGCCTAAAGTTAGTATTTGCAAGAAAGAGGCGGTTATCTGAGCGTAGCTGCAACAGACGGTCGCCATTATCTGTCCGTTGAGCCACGACACTATAAGATCCACCCAGGTGTCTTTCCCTATCGCTTAGTTTACCTACTTGAGCATTAAAGTCACCAGCCACTAATAAGGCATCAGAGTCCCTTGCTTTTCAGAGGTCGGAAAGCCTTCTGTAACATCAATCTTTTAAATCATCTGAGCTGTAGTCAGTGGGAGAATAGGCAGAGACGACGAAGAGGCAACAACGAGTGTCCCTATCTTTCCAAGTCCTTACTGTTCCGTTTAGTTGGACAGCGCACAAACGACTGTCTGTTTGGCACAGTGTTCGGACGTTAAAAGCTCCTACGTGTAGTTTAGAGCGTGGTTTCAGGAGACCAGGAATAACGTTCTGCGTACTCGAATCGTTTGTCCTATCGGTGAGAGGTGATAAAGAGACGTGAGAAGGATTAGTCGTGGAGATAAGAGAGGTATTAGGAAGTGTAGGAAGGATTTGAATGTGACCAGCTTGGTCTCGTGTGTTGATACGAGTATGAAGACTGATGTCACTTCCCGGCTGCCCACACCGTGGAAGAGCATCTCTTGAGGAACCTGAAAAGGAAATCGGATTAGCGTTGGTCTTAACGACCTGGGAGCGTGACCACGGAGCCCATGAGACAACTGCTTAAGGCCGGTCGCGGACGGACTCTTCGTGGGAGGTTTTTAGTGTGTTAGCTCAGTTCTTTAAAGGGCCTTACCGCCAGAGACGGAAATCCGCGAGGTAAGGTGAGGTGTGACATTTTTAGGGTCAACATTTTCTAACCCCTTCCTTCCTTGTGAGAAGGCAGCATCGCTGCAAATGCAGGTTGTCTGAGGGAAACACCTTATTGCTGTCACACCCCTCTACAGTCAGCAGTACGACTTCGCCTTCAGACCTTGAGTTGATGCTTTTAGTCTTGCCGTTCTCCAATAGACCTGCCTGGCATGTTAGAACCTTCAGGAACATGTGTTCCAGCCAATATAGCTCGGTTGGGTCGTCACGATAGGTAGGCCCGACCACCGCGCCAAGTAGCAGCTTCGGTCGGGTTTGAAAGTTAATTCTGTGAAATATATCAAAGTAATGGTACACTGAGAATCGAGTATCACCTAGAGCCATTACTCAGAATAAAAGTAGCTTAATTCTGAAAACAGCCAAGCGGAAATTAATGACTAGTGATAATTTATTCAACATATAATGCTTAAAATGTCTTAGAAAGAAAGGAAACAGGTTACGTGTGATAGTAGTTCCCATGGCTAAAAATTTTGAATAATGATTCAGAAAGGATAATGAACAAGAGCTCAACTACAACCCAGAGGCAGTATCCAATTTTAGTAGAAGTGGAAAGACGACAAAAAAGAATTAATAGAAGCCAAAAAATTTCATAACATTGCTGTTTTTAAACCTACTAATAGCTACTTTACCGAAGATATGCACATTAACGAATAAAGGCAAGGTTACATAAAAAGGTTTTCAACTACGGATAAAATGAACTTATCACTATGAAGGGCACATTTGGATAAGATTTAAAGCCGTCTGAAGGTACCTGTCAACTGACAATTACATTAAAAATGAGTGATAGGAACTTTAAATGGTTTCTACAGACAGACGAAAAGGGTTTTGAAGCATTGAGCTGAATATTTTTCGGCAGTCAGAGATGATGAGACAGTTAGGGTTAGCGTCGAGTGTCGTATAAATTACGTCCAGATGAGCTTCAATGATGACCGGAGTCTGCTAAATAGGGAATCATAGTTTGGAGTCTTAGTCAATCCACATACATTGGTTATAAACGGTAAGAACAAACTGGTTAATGTCACTTACAGATGTAAAAAAACCAATCTTAAGGGTCTAATCTAATTTCTAGTGCCTGTAACGATGAATCCATCCCCAAAGCAAATAGGTCCGTAAGTCTTTGACATCGTTGACCTCACATGTTTTGGTAACTACACTCTAACTTGATTACCACGACACGTCGATCGGAATAACTACCTATCGTTCAAAAATGCTAGCTACGTTGGCTACTACTGAACTAATTGCTCTGCATTTAGACCTTAAGAAATACATATCAAATGAAACATTGTGTTCTTTGCCAGAAATATCTTACGGAGTGACGAAAACTTCCCTAACTGTTCCTGTGCCCGTAGTCCTCTGCCTGATTCATCAGAAGCATTGCCTGATATTCGGTCACGTTAAGGTTAACGGTTCATATAGAAAATGAACGAAATGCGTGGACTCACATCAGGTGGCATTATGATGCGAAAACAAGTCAGAAAATGTAAGCGTTTTGAAAAAAGCACTACCCAGTTGACCTTGAGAAAGTAGCAAACATAAACTTATTGACCAAATAAGTTTTGCTATTATTCGCTTCTTTTCTTAATTTCGCATATTTTGTGTAAATATCAATAATGGTTGTAAAGATTCTGTTTAAAAATACTTGACTTACCTTCCGTTTTGTACTTTCACGGTATGATACATCGATTGTCGCACTGTAGCATACTGCTCACATAAACCTCTCGTTATTATTTAACAGCTGTCACAATGACAAAAATTTGACATATTTTCTGTCTGTGTTTATAGGTCACAATGATATACTCACTACGAGATTAATCTGGGTACGCATCAGTCAAATTTGGAATCACTTACTACTTATAATTATGGATTAGGCGGCCAACAAAAAACTCAGTTACTCTTCCTGCTGGTAATTTTAGTAACAGCTTACATTTTTCCTCGTGCATAACTCACACTGAAGTACATTAGCAAACAAACCTTTTCTGTAGTTATTTTATTATAATTGTGTAACTGATATATTTTGTTCACCGTAATTATCTGATGAGCCCTGACGTTTTGTTTGTCACATTGATTTTTATACCAGACTTGTAAGCTGTTTTGTACAATGTTTGCTTCTAACGATCCTAATGACATTGATGGTTTTCTTATAAATGTTTCCTCTGAACCACATCACATATCTCAACCCGTTAAAACCATGGTCAATACCATTTTGGAGCACAGACGTCCTACATATGGGGTAAATAACTCAAGAATCTGGTTCGCGCAGACAGAAGTTTTTTATCCGATACGAGGAATTCTGTCAAATCAACTAAATGCGCTTAAATTCTTGGTGTGCAGAAGTCGGAAAATTAATAGATCAAGTGCTCATCAGGACATAGGGGAACGTAGAGACAAAGATTGATAACTAAAAAATATAAACTGTGAGCTTTTAAATCCCAAAGTACAACAAACAGAAAAAAACTATATACCCAATAAGAACAGAGATGAAAAACTGCTTTCGGAGAAAAACTAAACACTTGATGTTACTTCAGTGAAAATTAATTAATGCAAACAATCGTTTTGATGAGTAAAAAACACTCAAAACTATGAATTTAACTCACTGAGGAAAAGAACATGGAATAAAATTTAGCTCCTGGTTTTTCTGTGCCTCTTATGTCTTCGCAGCATTTTTGTTGAAATCGTTAGAAAACAGCACTGGAGTTAGCTATTTGAAAATAACTTTTAATTTTATGGCATAAACACTCCCTTGACGTTTTCTGTGTTCAAATACTTCACAAATTTTTCGAATGACTGCACCATCAAGGAGATGATTTATTGACGAATAGGAACAGGTATATTGTTAATGTGGGGAAAGTGTTTTGCCGCTAAAAATTCCTAACATTTGAGAGCCTGAATGAATCACTGTCATCAGCATTATATTGCTTAAACATGTTATTTGAAGCTATTTTACCCTCTTTCAAAATATGATCAGTTATGGCAGATTCAACAGCTGGAACAGGGTTGTTGATGAAGATAGTTAGGTTTTTTGTGGGACCTTTTGTTTCGACGTAATTTAGATTGGACGATGTTGGGGACGGGCTCTCCACTTTAATGGCCTGGGATCTGACTCCAATCTGGTTGTAAGAATGATTTTTACCGATGTATATGTATATCCTCGTATATAGTCATCGACTTAAATCGCGTTAGTCAATAACGGAATTAAATAAGTCAAATAATGAGAATAGACTTTTAAATACATATATTTTGCACATGAGGCGAACTGAATAGTGCGAATGAGAATGACGCGCAGTGGAGATGGCAGTTAAATCAACTCCATTTAGTCAAGTGTTAATCAATATTTACATTCACAAAAAATAAGTTGCGCACGTGTGATGAGTAATGGGATAAGAAGCGCACACACATATATGCGCCCATATAAAAACAGTCAAAATTGATGAGTGAATAATTAACAAGGTCAAAATATGACTCTAGTAGAATGAATAGATTGGCATGTTCCGAAGTTAGAATAAGGTACATAGGCTTAAAATAATAAACCGACACTACAGGTTTCACCGTTCATAGCGCAATTCCTATGCTAGAAAATCACACAAGATCGATTAACTCCTCAGATCACCGCTTTAACTCACGGATAAAATTCTAAAGTCTTCTATCAGTCTGTAGATAAAGGTCACACTCAAGAACAAACGTTCAGTAATCAGTCTGCAAGTTGTCACCGTTTCTGTGAAATTAAGGATGACGAAGTTATCGGAGATCATTTGAAGTGGTGTTTGCTAGTCTAGGAAAGCGAGCTTAACTTAATGTGCCTGTTGATAACCGTGGTTCTAACAATAGAAGGAACCACACAAGTGATGAATAGGTCCTTAATTTTCTATCCTGAAAGGTGGAGTGGAGCTCAAGTTACCTTTTCAAACACATAAAGCCCTTCAACACTCAATATAAAATAATAGGAAATATAATCCCTATACAAAATAGGAAAGTGAATGAGTACTTAAACTTTGTTGTTCTGACATTTACCTAGATGTTTGGGGTCGACTTTCAACAAATCAAACCAAGTTGTTGCAGAACTATCTTGACGTTCGTATTAAAGATTGTGACTTTGATGTAATCTGACAGTCGTATTATGTTCCACACGTTTGGTTGTAGGAAGTTTCCTCTTGTTTTACCAATCTGTCCTTTGAAATCTGTGCCAGATGTTGTCTCCCTGGGATTCCGAGTTAGTGCTTTTCTAAGTGTATTGTTGATCCAAAACCCGAGCAAAGTATCAGAAACCTCATCACGTGTAAAACCTCAATAGAACGATAGCTAACCAGAAAAACAATTTATTCTGTGTCTAATAATCGTAACACACACGCAGGTTTGTATGTAGTCGTATTTGTAAAAGTTTTGAATCATCATACTCACCAACATAAAAGTGCTACTCAAGTCATTATTTATTTGCCTATACTTTTGCATTCATGTACAAATATTTACATTTTCATTTGAGTGTATATGATTGTAGGCATCTATCAATTTACGTATTTCTATCTCTGACCTTCTTAAACATTAACTGGTTAAGTCCTTGATGACGTATTCAAACACGCACACTTGTCTGCAGGTTTCGCAGCATTTATTCGTTCACAAGTTTTCTTATATGCTCAGCTCTCGCAGCAAAGATTTCTTAACACGTTTATTTCTACTAATGAATATCTTTTGCTGTTTATGGGATATCGAACTAACTTTTTTCAAGTCAAGTTGTACATTACGTTAGCCTTAACATCGAAATTTTCAATTATGTATACCCCACATTGTCTTAAGATTACTCATGATATCAAATGTCTTGAGATCTGAATAAGGGATTATTGTCGTACTCAACGCTTGGGCACCACAGTTTGATGCCTGGTCTGATAAGGGATATAAACGTGTAACAACTGATAAGATTAGTAACAATGATTTTCATGATTCCAACTGTTTTGTCGAGGAGACCGAAGAGTCGAAATCCTTGGCGTTCTTTACTCTATAAGGAAATCATAACTGTGGCACTTGTGGCAAAAACTAATGGACGTTCCCTAGTTTATCATCTGACGGGCAATTTTGGCTTGTAACTAGTGCTTTTAGTATAAACCTCTGTGGAAAAATATGTAATATAAATTAATAAATAATTTACTGAAGCTCATTTCACGGTTGCTTATAGGTATCTGAAGCAACAGAGACAGGTAAACTGCATATCTAATGCCTTCTGGTGTAGATGGATGAAAAGATACGTTCCGTTACTGCAAGTGAGACAGAAATGGTTTCATGAAAATAGAACCTTGAAGGAAAGTGACGCATTGCTAGCGGCCAACAACATAACCATTTGCGGTTCATGGTCAGTGGGACTGGTCCAGTAAGAACAGTGATATTACGTTGGAGAGAAGAGATGGTAAGAAGAGACGTGTGAAAGTTGTATCTTCTAAAACGAGCCGAATAAATGCAGATTGTGCATAGGTTATTGGGTAAACAGGCGTACTGTTGTGCGTGCGGTGCTTCTCATTGACACAGAGCAGTTAGCTGATATCCTGTGGTATCTCAACATAGCTGGATGGATTTTGATGCCCATTGCAAAGGGAAGAACAAATTGGAAATCCATCCACAGCATTTTATTGAACAGTCTTGTCATTTATTTGTACCTTCTCTCCGTCTTGCATTTGATCTGAATCTCAAGTAAGCCTTTGTTCTCTGCCGGAAAAATATCACTGTTCTGTGAATTGGCACTTGTCAAAATATCCAGGTTACAAGGAGTGGTTGTTCCGGGCTCAAGGTCATGTATTTGATCGAACTAAGCGATGGATCAAACTTACGGCCGTTTCACATTGATATTATATTTAAGTAAAGTTCTGTTTCAATACACGATTGTTTTCAAGATACCATTTCTGTTTCTCCAAAGACTACGAGTACATTCTGTGGAATCAGTCACTTATGTAGAATTATTATTATTATTTTATTATTATGCACAAAAATCTTATGAGTACACAAATGTTGTGAAGAAGCCATTTCGGTTTTCTTCAAAAATGAAATAATGCACAAGTTTCAATAATGTTAACATTATATTTGCCATATTTGAAAAAGAGAGTAATAATAATAAAATAATAATAATAAATCAGGTTCTGTGTAATTGAGAAGAATATTGAATTGAGTTTAAAGAAGGAAAGAAAGAAAATAAAGGAATAGTAATAAAGGAAACGTGAAATATGCAAACAGTTTAATAGGCGTGTTTATGAACAAAGAACAAGAATAAACGATTTTGTATGTATCGTCAAATTAGTAACAAAAATAAAATGGAAAATAATTAAGGAAAAATAACTTGTGATTGCAGTAAGATATGACTCTGGAATAAATGTTTGTACAGTCATAGTTTGGAGTGATGCTAAACAAGTCTCAATTAAGTGAAAAGGATAACCAAACATCAATATGTATGGCTCACCAATGGTTAATTTACAAGTATTTGGTTTCTATCCCATCTTTTTCGATTGAATGTTGTCAAGGTTCGAAGAATCATGTAAAAC